CTACGCTTCAGTCTTAACTTGTGAAAAGATGAAAATGAATGAAAAATTGATTTTGAAAAGTACACAGATTTTTTTTCAGCATAAGGACATGTTATTTATTGGCACTGTCATGTCATTTTTAAACTTGTCAGATTTGGAAAAAATTCTATTAATTTAATAAAGTATGAGTTGTAAATTTTCAGGGTATTTTGTGCTTTCTTTTCTAGTAATTCACTTTAAGAATTATTGGCATTGGACGGGGGGTTTAGCTCAGTGGTTCCACTGCCTGCCTCACAAGCGCAAGGTCCAGAGTTCGATCCCTGAAACCAAAAAAAAAAAAAAAAAGAATTCTCAGCATTGATAGGACTCATTAACCCATGGGTCATTAATGTCTTTGTTATAGTGATATATTATGATTTTGCTAATAGTTTTTTTGGTTGTGGTTGTTGTTGTTGTTCTTTGAGACAGCTCACTATGTAGTTCAGACTGATCTTGAACTCACTATGTAGCCCAGGCTAGCCTTGAACTTGCCTCAATCCTCCTGCCTCAGCCTCCCAAGTGCTGGGAGTGCCACCACGCCCCGCATGAGTTTGCTACTAGCCTAACTGATATACTTTAGATGAGACAGCAAGGATTGTAACTGTTTTCGTTTCTGTTTATGCAAATCACTCTCCCTTATGACTGGGTGACCACCCGATCTCAGAACCTGTTCACTGCTTCCCATTGACGTTATTCTCTTCCTCTGCATCAACTATATTGCCTCTAACATAACCTGAATTTGTTGTCATAATTTGCCTATGGATGCCAGAAAATTTTCTGATTTTAATTGCTTATCATTATCTCACTTTTACATTCCTCCAATTTTTTAAATGTTTCTTTCAATTCTTCAATACATAAAATAAATGTAGAGATACTCTTTGGATAAGAGCAAATTGGGAGCCTGCCTCTTCTAACTTGTTTATTGAAATGCTCCATGATGGATTCCAGATAGCAGTTAAAACGTCACATTTAAACTTTGTGGAGTATACCATTCCTGTTAGGCAGAAAAAGGCCCTCTGGCACGTTAGTCATTGTGTAAGCTGTATTGCTGACCTCCTTCCTGACGGGGAACTGTTCTGACCGAGGTGGAAACAAACACACAGGACTCCTCTGCCCCCACCCGGAAGGGTGCTGATGGGAAGCGCTTTCAGGGACCGCTGCTGGGCTGTGCATTTCCAATCTGCCACCCACAGGAGTCTGGTGCCGGGCAGTGTAGGTACGTGTATGTTTCACTGTCGTGTACACGGCTGTGTGGTTTCACAGAGGGCAGCAGGAAAAACCCTGGAGGTTGTAAACCAGCAGAACCGCGACTCTATGCAGAAGCGACTGCGGACCACACAGGTGTCCTGCTCTGCAGGTGTCACTGATCAGAGCTTGCTTCTCAGGCAGGGCCCAGGGGAAGAGGAGGGGGAAGGGGACAGAGGTCTCAACCATTTATGTTAAATATCCCAGTTTTGCAAATTTCATTAAAACTCATCGCCACATGAACATTCACCGCCACATTTGGTTTGTTTGTTTTTTCTCAGTACAGGGAAGCTGACTCAGGACCTTGCACTTGCAAGGCAGGTGTGGCACCACTGAGCTACATCCCCAGGCCCACATGAACATTCTTAGGGCCCCCTCTGGGCTGCACAGGACAGGACCTACACAAGTGAGGCATCGGAAGCTTAAGCTCTTTGACTTCCTGGCAAACCTGCCTAGGCTTCCCCCTTTCCCAGTAGTTTCCAAGACCTGTCCCAGCTCTCTTGGATTACAGCCACCACCTCCCGCGTTTTTCTTGCCCCTTTCAGTGTGTGTGTGTGTTTGTGTGGTACTGGGGACTGACTGATCCGAGGGGCTCAGCACTGAGCTACACCTGCCACCCTTTTAACATTTTGAGGCAGGGTCATGGTAAATTGCCCAGGCTGGGCTCCAAATTGAGATCCTCCTGCTTCAGCCTCCTGGAGTGCTAGGATTACAAGCATGCACTAGCACATCCTTCGATCTCCCTATTTAAAAACGCACCCCTTGCTACTCCCTGTATCTCATCCCTGCTTTGTATTTCTCCATAGAGCATCCCACCAGCTAACATACAACATTCCACTGACAGTCTGTCTGGCCCCCAGAACCTGAGCTCCCTGAGCTGTGGCCCCCTGGTCCATGGCTGCAGCCCAGTGCACACAGGGCCTGGACCCTGGTAAACAGCAGACTCTGCTGCAATTTCCATTCCCCAGCAGGCTGAAGCCCCAGTACCACCTTCTGGGAAGAGCAGCGAGTGCCCTGACTCAGAGGTCAGTTTCAAGAAAAGAGAAAAGCAAAGTGCACTAGTGGTGAGGACTTCCAGCATTTGGCAAGTTGTTTTGGTAAGAACTGTCTTCTAACGAAGTGAATCACCAGAGGATTTGATCATCGAGCTATGAACCCCTGCACCTCCTCCTCTTCCTCCTGTCCCCAAAGATGCAACCAGAGTCACTGTGGCATTCATAGGAAATCTCCAAATCATGTCATTTTTCTTCCCTGTTCGAAGGGGGAAATACAAATTTTAAAAAAAGAAGAAAAAAGGAAGACATTTTAAATGCTTGCTCTTGGTGATCTTTTCTTCATTTTTATTTTTCTTTCTCTTTCTGACTCAAGGAGAATAAAATGAATCCAAAAATATTACACAAAAGAAAGAAACTCAGCCATTAGGAGTCCACCCCTTTTGGTCAGAGAAGTGCAGACACTGTGGCGTGTCAGTGTATTCAGCAGCAACAAACACAAGGATGTTACTTAGAAATACGAAATGTTTGAGGATGCTAACATGAAAGAAACAGTTTTTCAAAAAGTTTAAGACAGGCAATAGAATCTCTAGTTTTAGTTTTTTGAGGAATCTCCACACTGATTTCCACAGTGCTTGCACCAGTCTGCACTCCCACCAGCAATGGAGAAGGGTTCCTTTTTCCCCACACCCCCGCCAGCATGTTATTGCTTGATTTCATGACAGCAGCCATTCTTTCTGGGGTGAGGTGGAATCTCAGCATTGTTTTCATTTGGATCTCTCAAATGATCAGTGACACTGAACATTTTTGTCATATATTGATTTGCTGTTTGTACTTCATCTGAGAAGTGTCTGTTCCCTTCAGATGCCCTTTTGGGGCTGGGTCTTTAAATTTGGGGGCTCTGATTTTTTTTGAGTTCTTTATATATTCTAGATATTACTCTTCTGCCTGAGGAACTATTCCTTTTCTTGGGATCGTCCCAAATTAAAAGTATCATATCACAGTGATATATGCACATCCCTGTTTATAGTGGCACAGTTTGTAATAGCTAAATCTTGGAAACAGCCCAAATGTCCACCAACTGATGAGTGGCTAAAGATGTGGGGGTTTTTATACAATGGAGTACTACTCTGCCATAAAGAAGGATAAGCTCGAGATGTTTCTAGCTAAGTGGATGCACCTTGAGACAACAGTCTTAAGTGAAATAAATTGGACACACATATTTGAATATGGCATTGTTTCTCTGGTGTGAGAAACCAAAAGTGGAAATAAGGACCAAAATGTGTAATAGATACTGAGAAATGGGAAGAAAGAGGAACAAGGGATGGAGGAGGAAGAAAGGAAAGCAAAGACAAAGAAAAAATATAGAAGGAAAAAATGGAAAGGAGCTTTTGTAAATAAGTGGGAGGAGGGGGGTTGAAGGGAATGAGGAGAATGAGGAAAAAAGAAGGACGATCTACCATGTACAGGTACAAATTGCCTATGATGAATGTGATCATTATGTATATCTAAAATGTACCAATAAAAGCTTTCCTTAAGAAAAAAAGACAGGCAAGAGAAATTATAATTCCACCATCGCTAAAGGTACCACTTTGTTGATTTCTTCCTACCTCTTTCATATGCATGGATTTTACACATATGTACTTTTTATATCCTCTTTTTTCATTTTGCCTCATATCAAATAAATCTTCCATGTGATATAATTTTCTGGTGCTTATAATTTTAGGAATGTATAATATTTTATCCTATTGCAATAACGTTCACTAAGTCATTCAACTACACTTGGACATGTATGTTGCTTACAATATTTTACTTTTTTTTTCAGTACTGGGGATTGAACTCAGGACCTTGTGTTTGTGAGGCAGGTGCGACGCCACTGAGCTACATCCCAGACCCAATATTTTTCTCCTGAATATATTCAGTGATCCTCCTGGGATGATTTTCTACAAGTGGGAAAATTGAGTCAGAAGTGATGACTCTTACGATTCTTGAAAGCTACAATAGAATTATTTTCCAATAGATTTGTACCGATTTACAACGATGTCAGTGAATATTTACTAATCTCTAGTAGATCCTTTGCTAATATTTAAAAATGATTCGTATTTTAATATGTATTTTTTCCGTATTTTATTTTCTCCTTGTGACTTATGCACTTTATTTGGTGGAACTGTCTCAATATTTTCTTATTCTTTTTCGTGGGCTATATAGAACATGGGCTATATGCATTTTCCTAATCGGTTTTAAATTTCTGGCCATCCTAAAACAATTAGGCACTTACATATATCGTTCAGATATTACCAATTTCACTTCTCCTATCACGGGTAGTCTTAGAAAACCCTCTCCTTGCCAGGGCGTTAGCAAGGATTTAATTCTATTCTGTCCCTGGCTTTCGATTCTGTATTTGTCTTGAGGCGGACGTCGATCAAACTGATCGCCCCTTAAGAGCCAAGTAGTTACCAGGGTTAGAGCAGGCGGCCCCACCCGGGGTCGCGGCGCGCGCTCCGCCCAGGCCCGCAGCCCACGCACCGCACCGCATGCCCGGAACCGCGGGCGCCGGGAAGAGAAGGCGGCGCTGCCGCAGCCGAGCCCGGGCGGGCGCAGGGGGCTCGGAGGGGCGGCGCCCGGACGGCGTCGCCGAGAAAGTCCCCGCGGCCGCGCGAGAAGACGCCGCGGAGACCGGGAAAAGCCGCCGACCCCGGCCGCCCACCAGGGTTGCTTAACCCGCTTCCCGAGCGCCGCCCGGGCATGGACGCCGCGCCCCCGACCCCGCGGCGCCTCCCGTGGGTGGGCTTCGCGCCCCGCCGGGCGTTCGGAGCCGCCACGTGATTTCCACGCAGCGCGGGGCAGCGGCGGAAAGGCGGCGGGGCCGGGGCCGCGACCCCAGACAGAGGGGGGGCGGGGCGGGGACGGGGGCGGGG